CAATAGTCGAAATAGCATTTAACTGACTGCAATACGATCGTGGTTTACGACCCATGTTATTTATGTATGTAATATACAATCACGAAAGTGTCTCTGCGTAAAAGCGTAAAAACTACGTAATATCAACAACAATTTGTTCGAAAACAAACCAAAAAAAAATTACATTTTCTCTTTCATATTTTTATTTTTTTTTTTTTTCCTATACAAAATTACAAACAATTTTTGAATAATTGTTTTTCAAAGTTCCGTACTGATTCTGTCGATTAGAAAAAAAAAGAAATTGTAATTTTGCTAATAACTGACGCTTAGAAATGAAACGAAACGAAACAAAAATTAGATGACTGTGCGTGTGGAAAAAGACGAATGGTTTGGTTGGAATTCGTATTATTTGCAACACGCAAAGAACCCTCCTTACGTCTCTTTCCAGTATTTCTAGTCACGACGTCGTTTTAACTACGGGAAAGAGATTATATCGGTCATCTGAAAAGTTTTCCAAACGATAGGATACTTTAGAAGTGCATTATAAGTGCACTAGAAGTTAAGTTCAACTGTTTCTGCTATAAATACTGCACGAACTTGGACGGCATTTAATTCATTGTCAGAACGATCTGTCTAATTAACGTTGATCGTCAGTTGTAATAGTGTCTTTGAAATATTCCCCGATCACAACCTTGATCTCTGTTCATCAACTGGAAGATAAAAAAATATACGTTTGTGCGAATTCGAACGTTAGCATTTACGTAAACGTCGAAAATCTAATAAATTAATGAAAGTTTGAAATGCAAATTTGGGGACTGTCCAAAAGCAGTTAAGTGAATTCTGAGAGATCAAGTATCCCCTAATAAATAATTAGATAACGAGCTGGACATGCGGATAACAACGCAAGAGAAGACAATTCCTGCGAGAAGACGGATAGGATTAGATAGGTACAACGAATGGAGTCCGTTTCCTCCAGATAAATAGAACAGATGGAGTATAGTAAACGATAAATTGACGAGTCCTACAGATATATATAATAGATGATAATAACTAGACCACATAATGGGAAGAAAATTAGATTAGTATTGTCATTAATAATAACATACCTACAAACTATTATGGTGCTTTACTATCTAATAATTACTTAGTAATTAATATAATATATATATTATTGTACTATTTTATTATATTATTAATGACACATATATTATTAATACAAATTATCACGTATTATTAAATAGTACAATACATAATCGATTATAATAATATTGTACGATATGAATCGTAAACCTTGTCTTGGAGATTTGTATATTTAACATTAACAAAAGAAATTAATTAATGTTAATTTTTAATTCTTGTTAATTTTATTACAAGACGAGTAAAACATTCATGAGACAAGCACAAGGTGGGCTGAAAAGTTTTGAACCTAATACGAGAGAGACATTCCTTTCAACTTCTTTTCATATTTCAGGATCAAAACTTTTCAACTTTTCAATATAATTTCTTTTTCTTAAATTATAAATTCATTAATAAAAACGTACTAGTAAATAGGAATGCATATGTGAAAGTTCTTCCTTCGTTTTCTTTTAATCAATTAAGTATTGGATCTTATTGCTTGCACAATGTATGGCCCGATAAACCATTACAACTGTGTAGAAATTAAAAATAATCTGTTTCCTGTCAGTTTGGTTCTCCCCTTGTAAGAGAAAATACGATAACGGTAGTCGATTAGAAACTGCATCTTTAAACTGGCACCATTGCTAATTGCCATCCATATAATTACCATATCGAGGAGATAAATATAAGGCTTTTAGCATCTCTCTACCCATGGGGACGAGCGCATATCGTCGAAATTGCGTCTAGGACACTTTAAGTCCTATGCCATGGAAGTAAATACACATTGAGACACCGACACTATATACATATACAATGATAATAGAAAAGGGTGAAAAGAAATAGGCGATTATTTTTTTTTTTTTTAATGAAACGAGAAAGATAATTAAAAGTCTTAAAAAGATAACGATTAAGGTCAAAATAATTATTTAACCCATTGCCTGCCAGACATATTTAGAGCGTCTTGCGTCTAGGTGTCAAAGTTTTATTTTAAAGAATACATGAAATTTTACAAAATATAATAATTTTAAGTTACTGATTTAATATTGTAATGACATTTACGATAATTAATAATTAATGTTTTTTACACCATATAAGTTTTTTATTCAAACTTTTTAATAATTCTTAATTTAAATAACCATTTGTAATTAATCTAAAATTACAGTACACACTACGAGATATCTCGTAGCTGGCAGTTAATGGGTTAAACAGTATCATTCATTTTTATGTACAATTATCATTACTATTAATTATTATTTATTTATAATTAATTATTATTTACAATTGTTTGTCTAATATCAATGAAAAATGTGATATTGTTGTAATTACCGAATGGAATGTATTATAGTAATTTTGTTAAAAGGGCAAGAAGAAAAACTCTTGTGCCAATCGTCGAGGTCTCTTTTCACCAAGCTGCATAACACATAAATATTGTACATAGTGGAGGAGCAACAACCCTTTCCTCTCTCTATCTCTCTTTCTCTCTCTCTCTCCCTTTCCATCTATATAGGAAAGGAGTCCGCAAACGGGGTCGCTAATTTTCTCCAACGTAATATTTAATGTAGCTACCCTGTAGTAGAAGTTGTAACTTGCCGCTAGCTTCATTTCCATCGGAGGGAGGACGCGCCGCAACGTGCCGAGAAACGTGGGTGGAAAATTATCGTGGCGCCGCGTCGTTCCAACATCGAAACGCACCAGTAAAGCTTCTCTTTACCGTTCCACTAACTTTTCATCCTGATGTTGAAAATAGGGGAAGAATTTGTCCAGAGATAGCAGACCAATGTCATTTGTAATTAGTAATTACCAGAATAATAATTTATTCTCTACTCAACGAGATTAATATTTTTTTTCCCCATTCCTATTGCAAACAAAGTCATAAACTAGAATCGGATGATCTCACAGTTCCAAATTAGATCAGAAGAATTATTCAATCTTTTCTTTCTTTGCTGCACAAAGATTTACATTTATTTTCCTTTCTATTATTAAAATTCAAAATGTTTTTTATAGTTTTAATCGAAAGGGTTTCATACTTTCATTAAGTATAATATTTTGTTGATGCTTTTTGTTGTTTTCTATTTGACGATACACTCGTTGGCGACACTCGACGCGCCATTCCGTGGTAAAACGTTCCTACCGATAGGGTGCGATTTACGAGTAACGACCCCTTCGTAGTAAAGCCCTGTATCATCGTATAACCACCCTTGCCCTTTTCCTCTCTCCACGATCCTGCTTCATCGTTCCCCATGTTGTTATAGCGACCGTTAAACTAGCTGCTAGACAATGACAAAGCTTTATGATTTGGATAGTTGTCATAGTGGCAGATATCGAAAGGGATCTTTTGACGTTTCCAGATTTTACACAATGTTTTATTTTTTCTTTTTTTTTCTCCTCGGCGTTTCAATCAAATTTATTCACGAATATAAAATGTTTGTCGCCCAGACGTAAATAGATCGTAAAAAGATTTAACAACCCTTTCGCGTTCTTTTTTTCTTCTATTCTTTTCACTTTCCAACGCTAAAGACAGGCTAGTAAAAAACTGAAAAAAATAAAGCAAATAATAAAAATGAACAAAAATAAAAAGTCCTTGGGAGAAACCACGAACGTCCCTCTTCGTTCTCATATTTCATTATCACCGCCAGTCCTAGTTGCAACGTAAAATTTCATAAACTCCCAAAAAACTTTTGCGACGACCTTTTAATTCGGTCGGTGTGCTTGTCGCCTTGGCGAGCGCCGACACGACGACGATGTACATATAAAATACATATATACATACATATATACACATTATACATATGCCTCTATGTAATTTTCAGTACGCATACAGTAAATACGCGTGTGTCTCTAATTGTAAATATTACTGTAAATTCCACGATACATGCGTTAAAACTCAAACGAGTTATATTCCAAGCGATTACACCTCGTCGATATTTCATACGTAGGATGAAAAATAAAAACAAAAGTAAAAGTTTTTCAACAAATAGTAGCCTTAAATAATAAACATGAATTTTGTATTATCCTTCACTCTCTCTCGTAATTGACAGAACAAGTTGTTAGAGTAGGGATCAAGGCACTCAGAGAATGCAATGTATGCATTAATTGCGGACAACCGAGATAATCGTTCTGACGTCAGCACTCCTTCAACAAGCATGTACGCTACTCTCAAGGACGTATAACCACCAAACGGATGGGTTAACTTTTCGAGGGCCAATATGTCTCTCTCTCTCTCTCTCTCTCTCTCTCTCTCTCTCCCCATTCACATAAATTTGTATACGTATGGAAATCCCCTACGAAAAAAGGGATCCCCCTCTCCAAAAAAAAAAAGAAAATTTCCATTTAATATTACAACGGTGACATTTTCTTTTTTCAATCTTCTCTCTCTCTCGATGGATACTGCGTACTCTCTACCTACCCACTATGTTTGCAGCAAAACGAACGAAATCCGTAATATCGATTATTCGCGACGGTGGTTGCGGAAATGATATCTCCTGGATTACAAATCATTCGATTGTAACGCATGGAAACAGAAACAATTGCATGCAATAACATAGAGTACCTATAACCTACCGACATTATAATACTACACGTTGCTACACAATATACAGAAATAATATATATTTTCTTTCTTCCTTTACAATCCGAGAGAGTTACACGCTATAATTTCCTACTCCTCGCCTTCAAACCACCCCATTTATTTTTAATGGAAGAACCATCCTCGACAATAGGAAAACGGAACTATAAAGATCGTTTCGCTGTTTTATTTCGTCGAATTTCTTCAACTCCGACTTTAAGTGCACAAAAACGATCTTCTACTTTACAATAGTTTTATCTTACTCCATTTCTCTGTTTTACGTTCAACGTCGTCCCACTCTACTACGTCTACTATAATCTGTTCTTTATTTTTTTTCCAGAGATCTAAGACCAGCAAGTTTGGAGAAAGGCCAGGAGACCTTGCGGCTCAGAGTGTACGCTTGTTATGCTTGGGGTGGGCCCCTTTTGGTTGCGGGATTGGCTGCCCTACTGGATCATCTTTCACCCCAAACTCAGTACACCTATCTTAGGCCTCGTTTTGGAGAAAGGCAATGCTGGTTTTATGGTAAGATCGATCTTCTCTATCCTTTTTTTTCGAAGTTATACGTCTCAACGCTCGTTGAAAGTAAAATTTGAGTTGCGCGCGCAACATACAAGAGAAGCGTGAAGTTAGCCGTTAAAGAAAGTTAAATTCGAATATATTTTATACCAGTTTATTATTAATTCACTATTTTCAATTAAATGAACATTTGAATATGAAAAATAATTCATGTTACAAGCATATTTACAAATATATGCTCGTATATATTATGTATATATACCATATTATATTTAAACTGACGTTTGTTGATCGCGGATGAATATATAATTACATTACTTTATGCATATCCTGTTGTTAAATTGTGATTAAAAAAAAATTGTTTTATTTAATTAATTTCATTCAAATGTAAAAATCGTATTTACCATCTCCCTTGGTATGAATTCTTAACAGACACTTTTACCCTTAATATTTCAATCACGCCAAATGAATATGACTTCTAATGCAAATACATAAATACACGTGCTACATTTTCTTTTTCTCCTTTTTTTTATCTTCATTTACTCATTATTTTAATCATCGATATAAATCGAAAATGAAAGAACGAGTGATTATTGCAAATCGTTTTCCCTCGAAGCTACTAATGAAACTTATTATCGCAAATAATACAATAGGAAGGAGTAAAGCTGAGGAACGAAGGTTATCTCTTGCTATCCGATTATTCCGCCAATTAATAGGACCGTTCAGGCAAACTCGAAGTACCGACTAAATTGCTTTCGTTCGACGATAGTCCGAATGACGCGCGGGACGGGCATCGAATTAATTACCATTCGGAGGATATCTACCTATTAAACGAATATTGGATATCCCATAATGAATGCGTAGAAGTCGAAAAGGGTGTTGAAAGAGGGAATAGGAACGCGAAAATTTAACTTAACGCATGTATAAGGGATTCTAACGGTTAATTAAAAGTCTACGTATGTTAAAGTTTGTTCTTACGTTTAGAGAAAGAGAACGGGAGTGAAAGAGAGAGAGAGAGAAAGAGATAGAACTAATATAAACCGAACCACCAACCATCATCATTCGTACCTAATCGCAAAGGGCATAATAGAAATACTTGGAGGTAAGAGGATTACTTGAAATATCGTTTGCCTCACGGAATATTGTACTATATTTATATATAACATAGAGAGTACGCATAGAAGGGTAGTAAAAAGAGAAATAAGAAGATCGATAGACCAAAGTACCTTTAATACCGTCGAATCCCTAATAATAACCGGTACAACTCCCGCGAGCTTTAATATACATTCTGTCCAAGTGTGCCTGTTGAATTTACGAGTGTATTCTGTATATATATGCGTGTGTGCATGTGTATGTGTGTAGGGATGAATATATACTTGTTAAGAGCTCGTCTTGTAACGTACTAGAGAGAAAGTGAAAGGGAGGGGAGAGGGGGATAAAATTGAATGAGAGAAATAGAGATAGAAAAAGGGAAAATAGAAATGGGGCGGGCTAAAGTAGAAAGAGGAAAGGGGAGAGGGAGGAAAGGGTGGTCTTTATTCGCGGTCGGTACAGTTGCAGACTATTTAACAGAGGGAAAGATAGAGAAAGACTACCTCGCAATCCGTAATCTCCTTTATCCCATAATAATCCCACATGGCTGATCCCAAAGTTCTGGCAAATACCCGTTGCAAACATAACCGTCACACTGTAATGTGCATCGATGTCTTCCTCAAACGAACCGAGAACGATTTGCGTGTTGCCTTTTTTTTCTATGTTACGTAAGCAACTTCTTTCTCTCTTCTTCTACAATACATATTCCCCATTGAGGATAAAACGGGATTTTGTCCCGTTTAACTTACCGCTTTCTGAATCTTTTAAGTTCTTTCCTACGTATAGTCTTTGTTTGTTTCACGTGTTTAAAAAGGGGATCTACCATAAACGTGCTCTTAACTTGAGCACGTTATTCTCTCTCTTTTAATTTTTTTTTTATTTTTATTCTTTTTCCATTCGCATGCGAATATGTAGATTTTGAGAAAACTTAATGAAACGAGAAAGAAACTTTTTATGGTTTCTCGTTCATTCGTCATAGAGGAGTTTCCATTCGAGACACATAGAAACGGATATATAAGAAAAGAAAGGAAAAATAGATAAAAGGGGAAGATATAGGAAAGAATGAAAATGCACAGCAGTTATATGTCGTAGCACAGTAAAGGTTGATTGCGGAGAAGGCAGAAAATAGAATCGTTGTCGCGCTTGTAAATCAGGATAATAGTGTCCCATGGGAAACTCCATCGGACTATCTTGAACTCTGTTCTGCTTCGCAACTCAACGAAGCAATACCTTGTGCTGAGAGAAGCTGAACAAGCCAGCCAAAGGACTTTGCTGCTACGTCGTCCTATACTACAGCGTCTTGTTAGAATGCCATAGACGATAGGATAGGAAGATAAACTTGGCGGCAGCAGGTTAGCCAACCCTAACTGAAACTATTTCTTTAAGGGAATATTCTAGTATGAAGGAACTCGTTTTTGTAGTGAATTTTATAAGAATTTTATTTCGTAACGTAGAATTTATATAATAATTAAAAAGTAAGTTAGCACCGTATAACATTTTGATTGATCGAGGTAAATTATTAATCTCACACCATTCATGCAACCTATTGAGATTCTTTTAAATCATTTGAACACTTAGAGAATTGTTGAAAGATTTTCTAAATCATCTGCATACAACAGGAATTTTATAGTTTTTAAATACATGACATATATCATTAACAATTTATATAAAAAGAAACAGACCCAGATGGGGAATTCTGAGAAATGCCAGACGTTACTTTTAATTTAAGAGAAAGAATTTTTAAATTTATTTAAGGTTTACTAGATAAGTTTATAGTCGTCAATAAAAATTAAACAGTTATTAAGATCTAGTAATCGCAGTTTATTTAATAATATCGAATAATTAATCGTATCAAAAGCTTTACCGAAATCTATATATGTATAATATATACGCACAGTATCTACTTGAAAGCTTATTTCAATATGCGAAATATCGAATTATTTGAGTGCTAATTATTTTTCATCTTCGACAAGATAAACAAATCGTATAGAAATTTAATCAAATGTATCCTATACTTTTATGGATTTATTTAAAAGAACCGTGAGACAAAAGAGARAGAGAGAGAAATCATTTTCGAAGTTTCATTTATGTATAAACGTAAAACTCTGGCAAATATTAATCGATTTAAAACGGTCGATTGCACGTGCTGTATTGGAAAACCTGTTATACACAATCCAACACGAACTAGGCGTAGCATGTATCGTCCTACGGTTCGTTACACTTTTTAATACGATTACTAAACGAGAAGAAACAAAAAAAAAGAAGGATAGAAACAGAACGAAGAAAATAACAACTATACAACAAAACAACAAAAATTAATACAAACCTTTGACCCTTTTGCATGTAGAAATCGACGTATAGAACACTCGATATGCTAATAAAACGTTCTGGGAATTATCGAATGCTTAAGAGAAGTGTTTAGGAGAAGTACACTCTAGAGAAGACCTTTTAAACTCACCCTTATTTATCGTCTACTCTCCATTACTTATCCTAAACGATGCTAACGTTTTGAAAATGGTTGAAAATTTTAAAGGACTATCTCAACTTGTTCTACTCAAGTACTTTCAATATCAAATTAATTTGCGTATAATTTGAACGCTCTACTGTACCAATATTATTATCAATCAAACGATTACTTTAGTTGACCGATTCGAGACCATGACTTTTCTCGAACACGGTTCCCAGGAGCTATTTCTTTTTTTTTTTCATTATATCGCAAATTTTACAATACCAAATTTTATTTTTCTATACTTTAAAAATACTATTTATACAAAAAAAAGACGAATACTTTACTCAAAATAACTGATAATTACACACACGGTGTACAAATGATCTCAAATGGGTTAATAAATTTCAACTTATTTTTTACCTATATTTGATTTAAAATATAATTATTCTCACATTAATTTTGAAATCCCCATATTTTTTCTATCACATTATATTTTCTACATATACAATAATAATAAATTCTTCTAAAATACACAATACTAAAAATATCAAACAAATTGACTCAACCGCATAATCTTTTAAGCGACTCAATTGAAATATAACACATCAGATTCTAAATGACTATTAACCAATATTATTTATCACGAAATTACACCTGGAGGGAATTAGAAAGTTAGAGAACTTCGAATTTCAATTCTAAACGTTTGATCTGCGGTCTGGAAACTCTCAGACCATTTACAAATGTTTGACTGTTGTTTATTCGAAAATGGAATGTTACAATATGTATGTTATAATATAAACAAAGGATTGTTAAGAAAAACCCCCAAAAAAAACGATAAAAAAAATCAAACAGATAATCGATCTTCCGTATGTCTTTCTATCTAACGATAATTAAAAATTCCATACCAGTGAATCGTTTAAAACACGTGAGAAACGGATCGTTACCAATGGGGGAGGGGGATTGGGACCGTTAACAATCCTGCCTGACGATCCGAAATATCGTCGACGATTAAAAGGGTATCGCATGACATAAATTGCAGAAGTGTCCGAAACTTGAAAACGATAAAAAAGAGTGATAGAAAGAGAGAGAGAAAACACAAAAGGGGAAAAGAGAAAGTATGAATGCAGAGAAGGAACAGAATATGGAGGTGGGAAAATAGGAAGTGGTGGTGGATATGAAAGGGGGGGGGGAGGTGGAGAAACGATCGCAATTGATCTCGCGAAACGTTTTCGATGGCGAGCTAATCGGGCTTGACGGTGGTGCCATAAAGTATCGAACAGGCACGCGTGGACATAATTCACTTATGTTTGTTATGGCTTGCCATGGAGTGAGATACAACCCGTGCGGAACAGCTATCGTTGGCGGATTGCCAAAAGCCACCGAATATAGATGGTAGTGTCGTTCGTAAACGGTAAGAAAGAACTATCGTACTTTCTCTCTTTCCCCCTTCCCCTCCCTTTTCTTCTCTTTCCCTTTCTCTTTCTCTATCTTTGTCTTTTAAATTATTCTAATTTAAAGACTATTACGATACAGAACAGACAAATTAAATATAAAAAAAGAAAAAAACAGTAACAGATTAGGAGAATAAGATTACTTTTTGTTTTCTTTCTTCTTGTCTCTATCTATCTCTTACAAATTATTTTAATTTAAAGTCTATTACAGTAGGAAACAACTTAACAAAAAAAAAATAAATGTAAACAAAAAAAAAGAGAGAGAAAGTAAAATTACAGATGATTATCGATAATAGTCGAAAACCATGGTTTCCTTTTTAACTTTAGCCAATGAAATAAGGAAGACATCGTTTAATCTAATTGCTTCTTCGCGAGTACTTTGAAATGAATCGTTCGTTATTGTCTCGAAAGAAATAAAATCCAGAAGGGGGAAAGGAAGGTAGGTAAAAAGTTGGCACCGAAAAGAGTTTTGAATTTTTGTGTGAAACTCTCCTTCCATCCTTCCCTACTTCTCCTTTTCTATCTGCCTATCTCTTCTTTCATTTTCTTTCTTTCTTTTTATTTCTCTCTCTCTCTCTCTCTCTCTCTCTCTCTCTCTCTCTCTTTCTCTGTCGGTATGTACGATCGTTGAATTTTGAACCTTCTTGATGAACGCCGTGGTGAATGAGAAAAAAAGTGGAAGCCAAGGGCCGAAGAGAATACAAGTTCGCTCTTCTGCATTCGTTTAATATTCCGTTCGTCCGGCACAGCTAGCGAACCGAGCGACGAGATGAAGAGTACCCAAAGAGAAAGAATGAGTGAAAGAGAATAAAAAAAATAAAAGAGAGAAAGAGAGAGAAGAAGAGAGAGAGAGAAAGTTTGGTAAACCGGCCCGAATCCGATACACAGCGTTTCGAAAGTTCACCGACGAGTTTTGCCCCTGAGTTTGACGTCCGCTCGAAAACTTTTCGTTCAAGCTCAGAAGCAAATCAACGAAGAGACTAGATCATCCGGAATGGGATTACAGAAAATGTTTATAAAATACTGTTAAATGTTCCTCCTTCTGTATATACCCTCTTTAAACTTTGCCGTAGGGAAAATTGCCAATTTTATTATTTCAAATGGTCAAACAATCGTGAAATATAACCACAAGCATACGGGCTAAAAGTATAATGAACTGGTTTAATATTCTCAACACATTTTAAATGTTACCCTTTCTCGAATTATTCACACTGGAATTTTTCATGATTATATCAAAGTAAAAGGAACAACGCTTACTAAATAAATTATACTTTTATACAGATGGTCCACAAATTAAGGTTTATTTTAATTAAGAGGATATTCCAGTGTGTCTGATCAACAAAAGAAAATTTTTTTTTGTTTTGCATTTTATTATAGTTTGGGATTTTAAAAATGGGTTCTGAAAATTCATTAAAATAACCGAAATACGATCAAGTAGAAATTACAATTGTATAAAAAACATTAAATCGATAAATGGATACTATCGGAAATGAAAAAAAAAATCGATGAATTTTTGTATTGAAAATACTTACTATTAAAATACTTCGAACGATATTGATACATCTTATTAACCTGAGTAAAATGTTAAAAGAAAGAGTTTAACAGTTTGACCTGGATTTGGCATGGTGGTGCTTCTTCGTGAGACTCGTTTACTTGAAAAGTAGGTCGATTGGAGTAGTTCGATACACGTTAAAAGTATTACTACAAGTGCATTAGTAGTATTCACCTCTTGTATAAAACAGACATACTACCTGTATAAATAAGATTTTATTTCAAAATTTATTTGTAGAAGAAGAGGAAAAGGATTAAAAGGGTACATAGTTTTAAGTAACGTAGACTGTTAAAGTACATGCAATCACGAAAGTGGTTATAAAGATATAAGAAAATTATTTGATAAAAGTAATGATGCTTGTTTCTATCAGCTCACACTTCTCTATCTATCCGTGTCTACCTTCCTCTCTTTTTCCTCAAGTGTGTATATATTTTTTGAAACGTTACCTAAAGCAAAAACCAATCGCGATTCGTTAACTCTTGTGTATATTGCTCCACACTTCCGGTGAATCATGTACGATCGTCTAACAGATTTATCTTCCTGTCCTCGATCGTATTTTTATTCTCCTCCCTTTTTGAGATCCGCGAAAGAGAAAAACAAAACACAAAAAAAAATCTATTTTCGCGCTAACTTCAAGGAATAAGAAAAGATAAAGAGATGTGAAATTTTTCATCTATGATAAACATGAAAAATGAAATAAAATCTCGCATTGTTAGAATTTAATTATTGTAAGTATAAAGCGTGAACCCCCCGTTATGGAACTACAAATATACGAACCCTATGCAAAATGAAATTTTACGATCTTAGAAAAAATAAAAACAAATTATATTATATTATATAAAGAATATTAATATATTGATGTACTAATATTGTTAAATGCAAAAATTTACGTTGCGGAATCTTGCTGTATCGTAGTTCCATCCCTGCATAAACCCATTTCCTCTTCCTCTTCCTTTTCTTCTTTCTTTTTCCTTCTTTTCGCTTTCTTCCCCCATTGCTAAAGCGCAACAACGTTTATTATTGAATCGAAGAAATTCGAAACATCGAAAAGATCCAGCTTATCCTATCTAGAGATGATTTAAATTTAGAATATTAAGGTTTCTCGCGGTCTTGGTGGTCGGATCCAAAATCGAGCAATAAAATTCAAATAAATAAGTTACGACATATGATTATTGTGTCATATTAAGTGACATATGACAATAATTATTCTTTCATTCAAATCACAAAAATTCTTTATAGAGGACATATATTAATTTTAATATTTCTTTGTACGTTTTTCAGGTGACATGGAAATTCTCGCATATTTTTTCGGACCAATCGGTGCACTTTTAGCCGTGAATCTTCTCTTCTTTGCCGCCACCGCACGTGAATTAACTTGCGGTCTTTGGAAGGGTGAATTTGTCAAAAGCACTACCGAAAGGTAAGTAAAGAAATTGCTCTGAATTATTTCTCGTGATCCAATTTATAATACTTATAAAGGAAAAGGAGGATTCATAAATCTAGATCAAACAAAATTCTCATTCAAAGAAGTTTAATAAACATTCACGATGGTCTCTTTCGGACGAGATTGAGAAAACTTTGTGATCTACTTAACGAGAATAAACCAACCAATAATGTTTCAAGTTATGCGATCGATGCACTCCGTCGCAACTTCAACCTTGTTTATCTAATTAAATGAAATTCGATATGTTCGAAGAAGATTCTTATGTACTCTATATAGTCTATATAAATCTTTTGAAATAGTTAGAAACTCAATTTCATAGTGAATCAGAACGAACGTCTTGAATCCTTTTTATCCGAAGAAGATGAAGAAGAAGAAGAAGAAACCAGGGCTTTGTTTTCGACCGAAGGACGACCTGCTTTAAGCGATGAACATCAAGGATAACTGGTTTCATTTCAACCTTCCAAATGAAAGTGGTCCTCTCACAAGAGTTATTCTCAAACGATTCGTATTTTATTTGACTGTAATTTAAAGGATTAGAATATTTACAATATTTGGATATTGATCGTTCTTATTTTATAAAAAAAAAAGATTAAATAAATCTAAATGTGCATAATCAAATTGATCAAATAGGCCAATAAATGACGTCATAGTTTAGTTATAGTTTATATTTAAATGTAAAATATCATAGAGTATTCTTTATATTGAAGTTTTTGACATAACTTATTTATTGGCCAACCGAATAAGTTTGAATTTCTCCGAAGAATTCATATTTATGTTCGAGAAAAGGAACAAATATCATTACTTTTCATTCGTACTTCTTATTCTGCTTTTTATTCTTCTTCTTCTTTCCCATTTCAATATCCATTCTCTTTTCTCAATCGTTAGATTGATATTGACGATCTTGATATTCGATTCGCCATTTGCCTTAGAAAAATGTTATTTGCACGAACAAGCAAAGGAAACGATCTCTATAAACTTTATTTCTCTTTGCTACCGTGCCAACAGGATTTACGATTTCGCGGTAACGTAGTTGCTATTTTATATGAAAAAAAAAAACTTTAAGAAAAAAAACATAGATCGTAACTTCGTTTTTGTTTCTATTTCTTTTTCTCTTTTTTACGATCCAGAGAAAGACCTTGTATCGTTGATAAGTGTTTAGAAAAGTATTGAAAATTCCTTTACGTATATTTTCTTCAGTGGCGTAACTACAAATATTTGAACGTCTTCCGCAAAATATAATTTTATATCTTCAAAAAAAATAAAATAAAACAACTTATATTAAATTACATAAAGAATATTAATAGTGATATTTAATGTTCCAAAATTTACGATTTTTCTGTTCGATATTTTTATAAGATTGAGATTTCTTTTTATAATTTTTAAAAAAGTGAAGAATTCTAAAAATTTAATAAAAGCAAGAAGTATATTTTTGTTTATCAATGTACTTTTAATCTAGTAATTAAAAGATAATAAATGCAAAAATTTGCGAGTAGGCATTACGGAGTTTTACGATATTGTCGTTCTGTTCTTGTTTTTCTTGATTCATTTTAAAATATTTAAATAAGAAGGATAAATTAACGTTAATTTAACCTAACTTTAAAGAGTCTGATTAGATGAATTAATCGAATAAAATCAAAAGAATAGTCGATCCATGAAATTTATTATTATTATCATTACAATCGATCAGAATCTTGGATCAATCGTCGATTCCCATTCATTCTTATTCTTATTACATCGGAACAAGCAACAACGATCCAAGAGCTAAACTATTTCATTTCATCGACTGGTTCTTCTCGTCGATCTTATTATCGATCCGATTATATCGTCTACGTTACTAGCGGTCTACCGCAGACTATCCTAAGATTATTTCTTCTCGTTTTTTCATTGTCCGTCTTACTTGCTTTTCAAAATATAAATCCAAAGCTAAGAAAATATCTTAAAACCTTTAGTTAGTACAAGGTCTTGAAGGAAACTATTAACTAAATAAAAAAAAAACCGCTAATCCTATGGACTCCTTAGTTCCAAATTGAAACATTGGAAATTATTGTCAAAATTCCGTTGTATAATTAGACTTTAGAGATAGTGTAAAAAATGTGTTGTCAAATAACACTCGACATAGAAATGATAAGTGTTAAAATTGAACTTTTACAACGGAATTAAATGTCAATGTAGAAAATTTATTTAAAACAGAAAAGAAATAATTGAAAAATTCATAGTTTCGTTTAATCTCTGTTTAATACCATTTATCTTATATAAAAAAGAAAAGAAAAGTATTTAAAATAATAAAAAGCTAGCAACTAAATATTTAAATTATAATTAAATACGTATACTAATCAATAATGTTGAAAAATAAAATTTCTGTTAAGCAGGGCTGCCTTGGGCTGGGTATGCATGAAGTTGGTGATCGTGATGGGTATCACATGGGTTGCTGATGTTGTCTCCTGGGCAGTAGGTGGTCCACAATATATCTGGTACTTCACCGACTTGATAAACGCCTTCCAAGGTGTGCTGATCTTCGCAGTGGTCGGTTGCCAACCTCAGGTCAGAGCAGCATTGAAAAGACTTTGCAATAGAAATCCAAGAACTAACGCAAGTCGGCAGGGTAATGGCCTTAGTACAACCAGTCACGGTATGCCCAGCATGGGTGATAGCGTTACACAGAATCCAAGTACGAAGACTGCACCGTTGGAAACCATCTGTTAAACTCACTTCGAGATGGTTCAAGATTGAAAATTAAAACAATAAGAAGAAAAAATAAAGGATAATCTTAAAGGAAACTTAAATACGAAGACGATGACAACGACAACGACGACTATGACTACGATGATTACGACAACGACGAAGACGAAGACTTTGACAGGATGCTTTGAACGTTTAGCAAACATCAACGGTCAATGCGTTTCCGTCCTAAGGTCATTGACCTTGAAAAGAAACCCGTGTGGGTGGTTTAGTCAGGAATGAGAAAGCCTAGAGGCAAAGGTGTATGTATTTCTAACGCGCCTTTTTTTTCTTTCTCTCTGGCGAAACTTTTACACATATTTATTAAAAGACACATATACTTCAAGATCCACGTATATGTATTTATATGCAATTGCGCGAATACACGCTTGTGTGATAGGTTCGAGAATACTCGCGTATGAAATTGAACAAAAAAAGAAGTAAATACAATAAGAACTATAAGAAGGCAAAAAAGATTCTTTAAATGACGAATTTGTGTCATTCTAATCGAGATACTCGTTGTTATTAATGTATATAAACAGATGAAAGATGAGAGAAAGAAAGAGAGAGGGTGAGGGGAGAAGAAGAAAATACTTGACTATTTACAGAGATTATTAATAAATTATCGATATATGATAATACGACTGATAAATGATCATACGTTTGTTACCAATTTACAAATCGAATATAGTCATTGCGTCCACTTCTCTAATATCTTCGAATCGAGCTTAATTAATTAATTATATCTCTCTTTTGCACGACCATCAAAAACTATCCGTTAGTTTACGTTTGTTTTATTTTCTTTTTCTTCTTTTTTCTTAACTTTCTTTTAACTCCTTTTATTTCGAATTTTATTTATATATATTCGTACAACTTCTCTCGTGGATCATAAATAAGATCATAAGATTTTTATTCATGGGGGTGTTAACCATTGGAATATTAATATCGGGACCACAAAATTTGTAATTAAGAGTACAATTAGAAATAATAAAAATTCTAAAAAAAATTATTCATCAACCGATCCACGAATCTTCATAAAAAAAATTATAAATAATATATTGCTTAGTGTCTTATTGAAATATCCGGTTACTTTGTTGTACAATTATATGTCATTTGAAATTATCGTGTGTATCAGTATTGAAGAAATTTTTCATAAATTTAACATTTTATACATCATTAATTTTTTTTTATTCTATCCCATCGCGAGATATCAAAATAAAAAAAAAATAAAAAAAGATAAATAGATCTTTACGTCCAAAAATACAGCCGAAAGTTTTTTTTTTTTTGTAAAATCGTGAAAAAAGGGAGAAAAAGTCTTTTATACTGAAGTATTTTTAACGATACTGCCAATTTCTGTCAAAAATCGTCTGGAAGTGTGCCATTACAGATATATACACATGTCATTTCAAATTTGCATTTCGCATCGTCGATTCAAAATAGTCTTCGAGGTATCATCGAAATACATAAGTTCGATCTACGTGAGTCACGATCTATGATTTCCCTGATCTATGATTTTCGACCTTTCGAATCCCCTCTTTTCTATAAAACAAAAAATAGAAAAATAGAAAAATAGAAAATAACATCCTGTCCTAATATTAGTTTCTAAAAATTGTTTTTTTTTATGAATGAAAATAGAAAAGATCGGAAATAGCAATGATCGACGTTTCGTAATATGTAATAAAAATTTGATGCCTTTTTAAATGCCTTCCAGATGTGTGACAAGTTTAACATGCCAAATTGTATCGAATTGACCAATAATTTAAATAACGTCACAATTTTCAGTATTTTATATTTAAATAAATCATTATTAATAACGTATGTATATTGAAATTAAATTTTGGCTAGTCAATATGATACAATATAACATTAACTTTAAAAATACTAAAGTTATCAAAGTCGTATATTATATTCTATTGGATATTCAGTATTATGCTATATACTATACAAAATTCACACTGCAAATGAACATTTTTGCAGATCACATTCATCTTTTGTACTTTAGAAAGTAATAGAAATTATATAAAAAAAATATATATATATATATCATACATATACACGTATACAATAAAAAATATCATTATTATTTATTTAGATATAAAATACTGAAACGTTAAGACACTTATTGGTTCATCTAATATTAGAAAAACACGAGTCGATTTTCTAACGATTTTTCGATAGACGACATTAGTGATTAAAAAAGAAGAAGAAGGAAAAACTTGTAAGAGCTTTCGAATTATTCATTCGAAATGAAAAAGAAAGAGATAGAGAAAAAGAAGGAAAAAGAGAGAGAGAGAGAGGAAGAAAGAAAAGAATCTTTTGTCTTCAGGTGCATAAAAGAGACTGAAATACGATATCCGCTGTCTCGATTCGAACAATTTCTCTCTCGAAGACGCATCGAAATCGAATTCAATTCGACTAATGTGAGTGTTGTCCGAGAAAAGAGAAGAAAAAAAAAAGAAAAAAAAAGAACTGCAAAACTTTATGGGTCTTCGAAGAGTAGAAAAAAAAACATAAACGGGTCATCTTAGAAAGTGCTATTAATTCCTTTATATTTTCTTTTTTTTTTGGTAATACGAATGAAACGGATGGTTACAGAAAAAAAACAATTATCCTTTTTTTCTTGTGTCATCTCTACTAAATGACTCTCTACTCGAGAATATTTTACCTTCGTCGATCCTTTTTCTTTCTAACTAATGTTATAATCCAAAGAATAAAAAAAGAGAAGTAAAAGAAAAAAATAGAGAAAAAAGGAGCTCTCTTACGTATGTAAAAAAATAACGACGATAACACGTGCGTTATATTAATGTATGTGTGTGTATGCTGTTCGTATGATACTCGTGTTTCAGTGTGTTGGTACGAATGATAATATATAATTAGCGTTCATCATTAGTTTTCTTATCAATAAGTATGATTAAATCACTTATTCTTGCGTAACGATCGCACGTAAAAAAAACAAACAACGACGGAGTGACAGTCGTCTGGATCCCATTATTCATTCTAAAAATGATATTCTAAAGAAACTTTGAAAAGAAGAACATAAAATAAAAGTCAAGTACTTCTCGCGTTGCAAGAATAATAAAATCATTTAATTGGATGCAGATCTAATGTCCATGACTGTCAYCGAATAGAAAAAAACTTATCATCATCATCATTATTATTATCACCATCATCATCATCATTGTCATTGTTATCATCATAAATATCGTCATCGTATTTAATCTTATTTTTTCATAACACATTTATTTTTTATTTCGCATCTTATAAAGGGTGGGATTCAAATCGCTTTCTTTGAAATAGCTCGAAATATATATTATGTTTATTTTTATATGTTCATTTCTTTCCATTTGTTTACAAAAATTGTTCAAATTATTATCCCCATTATAAACAACTTACATAAACGAATCTATGGGAAAAATGAATCTCACCCTGTATATTATAATGACTATTATTATGATTATTATTATTATTATTATTATTATTATTATTATTATTATTATTATTATTATTAGATTATATAATTAAAATTATTTTTGTTATTAATATTAAAACTGCCAATACACGTAACTAGATCGTAGAATTAAAAATTTAACACATCCCTGTCACAGAGGAATAAACGTTAACGTTATTATTCCTATTGTATAAAAATGACTCGATTAGAATATAATAATAATCGCGAATATAGATATACAACAGAAATTCGATATGCGACAGTTTGAACACGTCGAGAATAAAAAAAAAATCATGACTGTCGTATATAAAATAAAAACCTAAACCGATGAAAAGGCGTGAGTAGACATTTATTCTCCAAGAATACTATTAACGACAAAAGTAATATACAGATAGTTGAATCGTTATAATAGATTGATATAGATCGTAGCCTTAACAATTTAATTTATTTCGAATTAGGTATTGTAGAGAAAGAAAGAGACAAAAAAAAATATATATATATACATATATATAAATATAAAAATAAATATAACGGTACTACGTGTAACAAAACTAAAGATAATAGCTTGCCAGCAGAGAGTACACGTAAAATACGTTATTCAAATGTAAAACGAATCGTTTATTATGTTTCCATTTATTACTTTCCTTTTTGTAATTAAATTTTTTTTTTACATTTTCTTTTATTCCATCAACTTTGACGAAGATAGGGGAAAAGTGAAAGCTTAATTCATCGGGACGAGAGGAGGAGGAGAAGGAGGAAAACAACATTGAGATGGTTCTTCGAGAAAAGATAGAAAGATCAAAGACACAGGGAGAGAAAGGAGAGGTATGAGGGGTGTATGTGTGTGTATGTGTGGCTGTTGGCACGATCGTTTGTGGTACGAAAAGGGAAACATCCCACTCGTCACTTTTTGCCCTTTATTCTTCGTTTATCTCTAGCATGTAGAAGCATCTGCCGAGGCGAAGTAAAAGAAAGAGCTAGTCGATGAAGGCTTCTGCTTTTACTTTGCCCAAATATACCATGAAAATATAAAGAAATATATATATATATATGTATGTATGCACACACTTCGAGTGAGTTCGAGGATATAAAACGAGGCTACTGAAAGAGAAAGAAAAAGATTAATACAGAAGGAAAGAGAAGGAAAGAGAAGGATAAAGAAAGAGAAAGGTTGAGAGAGAATGAGTGAGAGAGAGAGAGAAAGAGAAAGGAATGACGAGAGACAATAGTATTAAATCGTCGAGCATATTAAGGACGATCGTATATTAAAAGCCAGCGCGTCAACTACATTTATAAACCCGTCTATAGTAGAATACACGTGAGGGATTTATTATTAGTAATAAAAAAAAAAATTAAAAAAGGAAAAAAAAATAAAATCCATTCATATAAGCGCAAATTCTAGCGTTCAATTTCCGTACAAGCGCCGATTAAATACAATACAATACACCATTCCCATAAGCGAGATGTATCGTAAACAGTATTTACTATCGCACTAATGGCAATAAAGAGAAACTCCTAGTACGAACGAATTTCATTCTGCATTTATAAAATTATCTTTATTTTTTCTTTTCTTATTTGTTACTCATCCTTTTATTATAAATTTATTTTTTTTTATTTTATTACATAAAATGAATTTTTTGTTGTACCTGTATAAATAATAGAATATAAAGGTTTATGTATGTATTTAGTTATAGGTATATCTACCAACTTGGGTAGAAATAAGCAGACCTTATAATGACGTTTACCCTGAACACGCTCCAGTAGAGAATTCCGTACCTAGAAGTTTATAATTACCGAACCTTCGAACCTTCCCTAATTAAATCAGCAAAGTTCCCTATGTCAGAAACTTTGCATATTCGGTTTCATCGAAACACATGATTCTTCATATTAGAGAAATAAAATTTATTTAACGTTATGTTACCTATTGTAGATATTTGTACATTTTCATATACTCTACTCTTATTGCTTATCTTCATATATCCTATTATACTTAACATATTGTAGAAGTCGTACAATTGCTACCGGTGTTACACCTGAAATTTTATCAGCCGCAGCGATCTGAAATAACACGAAGAAAATTATTAACAAATTTTCGTTTAATATTCAAATTTACAAAAATTTAATGAAAACAATTCTTGCCGTTCGCGGTCGTACAGCCATTAATCTTTCTTTATCTTCCACAGATAAATTTAATCTCACCCTATAAACAAGAGTATAGGTTTATATAAATAGTCTGCTACCAATTATTTGATCTAATTAATTATGATAATGAAGAATTTCTTACGAATTATAATCTATGTCATCGGGTATTATCATTTGTTCATTTCTTCTAACTTCGTCGATTACTTTGACTTGTTCATGGATGGAAGAAGCATAGGTTGCTTCTATCTGCAAAATCAATTGATTGGTTAAAATCAACAAAGATGAATTTGTGCCAATTTCATTTATTGACCTTAACCAGAGTGTTAGGATCAACAAGTTAAATTATTCTACATGCGTTCTACGTTTATGATAGGATAACTAATAATCGTAAATATTGCAAGAACTAGTATTCTCAAAACAATTATTATACCTTCAATCTTCGTTCGAAGGTAGGATCTCTTACTATATGTCCAAATAATTCTGGCCATAAACTGGCTATTTTTGAAAATTCGATATTCTCATCTGGAAATCCCAATATATCAAAAGCAGATTTATTTTGAGTATTTTTACTAATTTTCATTTTCAATATTTTTCTCCATTTGGTATTCGATTGAACAATGGTACGGAGCTGTTGTATAGTTTGTTCTAATTTCATTTTCATTTTTAGCATTCTATCAAATCTTTCTTTACTAACGCAACCTGATTCGTAACCTTTCGTTGTCAATCTTAAGTCAGCATTATCAGGACGTAAACTCAATCGAAACTCAGCACGACTAGTGAACATTCTGTAAGGTTCGTCTGTACCTTGTGTTGTAAGATCATCGATTAGGACACCAATGTAGCCTTCTGTTCTACTTATAATTAATGGTATTTTTTTCAAAACCTAAATACAACGAGCATTTATAATTATCTTATCTGGAAACTATTCATTGCAATATTTGATTTAAAAATGATTGTTCACCTTAGCGGCTGCATTGACACCTGCAACACAACCCTGAGCCGCTGCTTCTTCGTACCCAGTTGTACCATTGATCTGCCCAGCAAGAAATAATCCTGAAACCTTTTTTGTTTCTAATTCTACGGTTAATTCTCTTGGATCAATGTAATCGTATTCTACGCCATAACCAGGCTTTTCTGTGGAAAATAAAACAAAAATTAGATTTTTCTTTTATTTATTAACAAATATTTATAAATGAAACCTTACCTACTTTAGCTTTTTCCAATCCACGTATAGAATTAACCAACTCTTGTTGTTTTTCAGCAGGTAATGTACATGACAAACCACCTGGATATATTAATGGCGAATCCAATCCTTCTGGTTCCAACCAAATAAAATGCTTGGTTTTACCGAATTTTAGAATTTTACTTTCTATACTTGGACAATACCGTGGACCTTTTTTCTCTTCAGTAACATGCAAATTGCAATGCATATTGTCTTTTATAATTTTAGCTACCTCGTCGTTTGTATATGTCAAATAACAAATCAATTGTTTCTCTGGAGGAATCCATACTCTATCGTTCATAAACGAAAATGGTTCGGGAACTTCATCCGCGAAATTTTCCTCGCATTTAGAAAAATCTATCGTTGATTTTAATAATCTTGGCGGAGTACCTAAACGATATAATTAAATAATAACATTTATTTAAAAGAATAAATATATTACAAATGAATGACATCATTACCAGTCTTAAGTCGTTTTATTTTAAAGCCAAGTTGATCCAATGTGTTAGCTAATCCGATGCTAGGTTCATCCCCCATTCTTCCAGCAGGTCTCTTCTCTAATCCAATAATAATTTCACCTTTGAGAAAAGTACCCGTTGTTATGACTACTGCATTACTCAATATCCTCGTTCCATCTCCTGAAAAAAAAAATTAAAATATCTCTATACCTTATTAAGTCTCTCATTTCATACAAATTCTTTAATGATTGCATGAAATATAACTCCTATAAGGATCCATAGGTTGTACATACGTGACCTCTACATGGACGATCCATGAATGAGTCACCAGTAAGGAAATGGTTAAGTAGCATATAAAAAAAGTGAAATTAAAAATATTTTAAGCTTACGAAGAATAATGCCACGACATTCAGGTGGACTTCCTTCTAATATGAGATCTTCGACAGATGATTCACATATATCTAAACCCTGCATTTGGAAAAGTTCTGCCTGCAAATGTTGTTTGTATAAATTTCTATCCACCTGTGCTCTGAGGCCCCAAACAGCTGGACCTTTACTTCTATTTAATATTTTATAATGAATCCCAGAGATGTCACATATGCGGCAGCAAATTCCATCTAAAGCATCTACTTCTCTCATAAGGTTTCCTTTTCCTATTCCACCGAAGGATGGATTACACGACATTTCTCCTAGATATTAGAAATAAATTATTAATTAACAAATTTATCTAATGATAATACAATTTAATACAAATATTATCCAACGTACCGATTGTACTTTTTTTATGCGTAACTAATAAAGTTTTAGCACCCATTCTAACAGCAGCAGTACAAGCTTCAGTTCCTGCATGTCCTCCACCCACGACGATAACATCAAACTTGTTATTGTCATTACTATCATTTGCTATACTTCTTATACATTGACGAATTCTTAAAGCAGTTATTCTGTTGAGTAGATTTGTTTTTAAACTTGAAATGATCATCTTCATGGTTAAAGTTCAAATTAATTGTATTGTATCTTATTTCTTCTATTCCTTAAGATCATCATAACTTGAATTGGTTATCCTGTAAAACAAAGTACAAAAAATTAAAATAAAATAATAACAGTAGATTTTCTATAATCATAATAAACAAAAGTAAATTTGTATCTTCACTAACTTTTATTTATTTCAAATATGAAAATTATAGTAGCAACACAAATACACCACGCTATTCTCTTAACACTTTGTTGACCGGTTCCGAGTTAACTCGTGCTTCTGTGGCTGAACGTTGCTGACCGGTCATGAGTTAACTCGTGATGCGCTTTTTGTTCGCATCACGCTATTTAAAAGAAAAACGCAGCAAAAATAAATATTACAATAATAACAGATTTTTTTGTACTATTGTTATACTGTTTATCATACGAAGAAGAAATATTTAAAGTCTAATAATAAGTAAAATTTATTAAAAATTACTTATATTTTTTTACTTTTCAAATCAATTATGAAGTAATAGCCGGTGACATGGGATAAATTCTTAAAAAAATAGCCGGTCAACAAAGTGTTAAAATATTATTATCATAACCACCTCGACTTCAGCTGTCATCACATCTCAGCGACATAAAAGAACGCGCTTCCTATTGGCTAGTCCTCGACCTATAAGAAGGCTTGATCACAACGCGCACATATCCTATTAGCTAATCGTCGGCAAAGGAGAAGACTTAATACAACACGCTTTACCAATAAGGAAGCTTAATGTATGCCTCTATTTGAAAAATTAAAAAATAGTAGTAAGGTAAAGGCACCAATTAGGGACACTATAAAAAACTATGCTACAATTTTATTTTTTTTCATTATCTCAAACATCAATATTATTTATTTTTTTTTACCAATATTTTAATTAGTCTTTTTACCAATTAAATCTATATATTATAGTAATCAATAATTGAATTTACTAGTTAATTTCAAGTAATAAAAAAAATTATCTGGATGCACCAAATAATGACAGGTTATGACCGATTTATCTAATTAATGACAGGCTGCTGTAGGGACCCTGTAGGAGGGATGCGCCATTCATATTCAGTTCATGTGCCATTGGCTGAAAATTTTGGGGGACCGGTTGAATTTATAATAATTTTTTCGTGTAACCTATTCTATTTTAATATAAATTTTTAATTATCATTAAATATAGTTCATTTTTTTTCTGTATTTGATGCAATTCATTATTTCATAATAATTTCAATGTTTGAATCATTCGCGCGCAAAATCGAGTTCCGGTCCCCCAGCAATGTACATGGCGCATCCCTCCTATAGGATCCCTAGGCTGCTGCTCTATTTAGCGACACCTATACAGCGCATGCATCAATAATCTAGAGACCTCCTAATGTCTCTAAGTTATGAAATAAGGTTAGTTTTATTGACAATATTAATTAAATTTTAAATTCAATAATATTTTACACTCACCTCACTTTCAAACACTAAACCACACACAATACTTTTTAATTGTATCACAAATACAATAAATAAATAACTTTATTGATAAAAATTTACAAAATTTATCTTGGACAGCCGTTGAAATTTGTAATGTACTTTATGTTTCCAAAAAAGGACACAATAGCGCTTTCGACTGGGTGTCTTTAGGGACCCTATAGGAGGGACGCGTCATGTACATTGCTAGGCTGAAAATGTGGGGGACAGCTTCCGTTGTATCACGCAGCCATGTTTATCTTTAGTATGTATTAATGGCTGTGGTTAGTTTAAGTTTGGAATACTTGTAGTTTTTATTGTGATATTTATATTTAATTGTTTTATTTTTTTTAGTAGTTTTCTATAAGTGTAAGTTTAATTTACTCATTTAATAATTACAAGTATAAATGTACAAACCTAACCTATAACTTATCGTTTGTTTACAGCACGTAGGATAGATACCAGGAGTCCGAACGATATAGGATTTTCCCCATTTTTTGTGGTAGTCATTTCTTGACCCAGATCATAGTTCTCTTTTTTGCCACTAGCAGCGCAAGTATTCAGAGCGTACCGATACTATTATTATTACACTTAAATTAAATATAAAATATTAATTTATTTTTTTAGAATAATTTTTATTAAAAAATGGAAAAGTGTTGTGCCGTTTATGGTTGCCTTATTAGCCGAAAGGCAGGGGAGAATTTAGGAAAAGTGGCTTTATTCAAAGCACCAAAAGTGAGTAATCTGAAGATAATATTAAAAATTTTATAACAAATTTATTAACAAATAATTGATTACATATTGTAGTTTTTAAATAATATTTGAAAAAATGTTATATTTTTATTTTTTGTGTGTAATATAGAAGTAATTAGTTTTATTTTTTTCTAAAAAATGTTGAAATGCTCAGTAAATCAATAAAAAAATTAATCACTCTAATTTAAAAAATAATTTAAAATTCTGGATAGCAATATTCCGGATACTCTTAAAACTATTAATAAATAATATGTTTGACAATAACTTATTTATTATTTTTTTTTTCAAGTATATTTATCGTGATACATAAATAAATAGGCATTTGACAATTTTTAAAATATTTTTTCTAGTAAATTTTCATAGAGACAATTTTTAATAGTTTTACATGGAAAGATTGAAAATGAACTATAAACTCAATTTCTTAAAATTTTTCTTCGCATAAATCTATTTTTTTTTTAAACAAAATGGTTTGGTGCCTACTGATTTTTGTATTATGATTTATTAATATCAGATGTTTTTAATTTTGCAGATTATTTCTTAAACTCCTCGATATTGCTAAGTTGAAAACATTTGAGGTTTCTAAAAATTTCCTTAAACTTTTATTTAATTCCACGTTTCTCAAAATATTTTTTTTCAAAACTGTCAATAACAACAAGAATTCCCGCGTAAATATTTAAACGAGTACTCTGTGAAAAGCAGCGCGCCCTACCGGCAAAATATCTTGTCCCATAAATTGATACCATTCTTTTAACATTACGTTCGGACTCCTGGTAACTATCCTCCGTGGTTTACAGACTAAAATGTTTGAATCATTCGCGCGCAATCACGTGACTACACTAGTTCCTGTCCCCCAGCAATGTGTATGGCGCGTCCCTCCTATAGGGTCCCTAGGTGTCTTTGATATTGTATACTAATTACTGACCATTTAAATTAAAAAAATATAAAATTTACTATAACAATATATTATTATTTCATATTTTTTTATTTATACAAAAAAAATTTGTTGTAGTTAGATTGAAAAATTTATTAAAAACAACGATTAAAAAAATTGGTTTTTTTAACCAATATAACTAAAGTAATTGACTCTTGCAACGAGTTTTCATAAACTCGAGTAAACTTTTTTTTTTCATTAATAAATATTTTATACTCTCACTACCAATAATTTTTTTATATTTATTGATTCATAAAGATTATCTGAAAAAAAAAAAACACAAAAGCTATTTACGTTAAAAATAATTAAATAGAATTCAAAATAAAATAGTGTCCATAATTAGACCCCTGTCACTAACTGGTGCTTTTACCTTAAATATTATTTTTTACTCCATATATTTTTTTGATTAATCCGATATAAAATATTCACCATATTTCAACTTTTTGTATAATGTAATATATCTAACAGCTTCATGAAGTTTAGGTAATATGAGCTCCCTACACATATTCTCGGCACTTTTAAATTGTAGATTAGTATAATTTAATTTATACAAAAATTCTCTAACAAAATTAAAACAATTCATAGTATCTTCATTGTAATTAATAGGCTTCCATTTACTATCCTGCCTCATAATATTTAATATTTCATCCCAGTAATAATTCCAAGAAGATGGTACTACTTCTATTGCTATGCAACTTGTCCATTGTGCAAAATTATTAATAATTAAACCATATCTATCAAATTCAAAAAGATTTCCACTAGAATTAATTACTCCAATATGTAAAAGATCATTAATTTCATAATTATCTAAAAATGTACCACGAGAAGGTTTAATTACAATTGAAGTTGATTGACTTGTTGCATTTGTAAATGGATATGGAATTCTAAATGGTTCTATACGAAAATTTACAATAAATTCTTTGCACAATGGACATTCTTCTGGGATAGTTTTACAAAAGACATTCTTAATATTACAATGACGAAAACATATTATTCCTGGATCCATAATTATAGTATAATGAATCAAATACTTAATTACTGATCTAACAAATCTATCACAGCTTGTTAAGATCAAATTAATTGTCTTGTATCTCGTTTCTTCTATTTCTTAGCTAACCTAAAATAAGTTATGCTGTAAACATAATACGAAAAGTTAGAATAAAATAGTAGTAATAGATTTTTTTAAATAATAGTAAACTAAAATATTTTACCTATATTTTTATTTCACTGCAAATTAAAAAACTATAATATGCTCTACCTGTTGATTTACTTCTATCAAAACTCGTTCGACTTTACCGCAATCACATTATAGAGATGTAATTGTTTAAATCTCTTATTGGTTATTCATCGACCAATGAGGAAACTTGCTTACAGCGTTCTTTATCGATAAGGAAGTTTAATATACCCCTTAAAATATGCAATACGAAATACATACGTGAATAAAAAGATATACAGCTTTACGGATTGTTTTAATTTTGTCATTTAATATTTGATACTAGAACAAAATATAAAAAGTGACTGATTTTATTATATATTTCGAAAATTAAAAATTATTTAAAAAAGAAAATCTTTTTAAATAAAATATTATAAACGCAGTTCAAGAATATTAGAATATATGTATATATAAAAAAATGACTGAGAAATGCGTATATCCATATATACTCCAATATTTAGAACATCAATTCTAATCTTTATCATTAAAGCATATATTTCTTTAATTTATTTTTCGTATCTTAAAAGCGTAAGACGTATCGAAACGATTGATCTAAGATTCAATGTGGGCGTCGTCTTTTTTGTTTATTATCCTAAGCATGCTTGTCTGGTTTATATTGTGCTGGTGTAAATGCGCAAGCCGGTTTACTCTTGAAAACGTCTTTTGCCCGCCCATTTTGTCCGTGATCACTTTGCTTTTGCGCCTGTTAAATAATCGAAGAAAAATTCTTGTAACGCAGAGTTTACCAATCGAAACGGATCGATCAATCATCTTGAACTCTCGTGGTGAATTTATTAAAAATGCGTTGTTCGTTTTCACAAAAGCTTCAACCTCTCAGTTTTATTTTACGATGAGCTTTTCGATTCGCCAACAGTGATCGATGATAAAACAAAAATAAAAAAATATGTGAACTTCTCGAATAAAAAATCGAACGAGTTGATCTTTCAATCTTCGTTGCTTTCGCGTGGGTACAATCGAATTTAATCAGATCCCAATTCTAACTTCAATTTTTACGAAAGTCTCAGTCCTTCAGGAAAGAAGATAAGTGATCTGAAAATTTAAGAACTTGTCTTTAATTTAAATTATAGCATCTTATTTTCATTAAAATTGGAAAAGGCCTATGTATCCGGCAGGAATATGCCAATCACATCGGAAGTTTCTTCGAGGGATAATCTTGATTCTATCACTACCATGGTAAAATTATTACACATTTTCTATTTTGGACATGTACCTATTTAATATTTTTATCGATCTTTGTTTTTCCTCATCATTAACTAAATTATATAAAAAGAAAATGTACATATACTATTGAAATAATAAATTGTAATTAATTAGGAAGATCAAAGTCGTACGGGAAGATACGTAGCAGGTGGAGCAGCATTGGCAGGGACGTTACTTGCATTATACCATGTACTTTTACGTGGTACATCCTCCATAGCAGGGATATGTATACCTGTGATCATAATGGCATCTTATATTATCTGGGTACTTTATTCCGCTCGCAGGGATAGGCGCAAGGTAATTAAATTCAAATCATTCGATCAAATATTTCTCTTTTCGTGATTTATGACTGGCTACTTTTAACAGAAATTTGTAATCTTTTGTAATCGATCTCGTTTAAGGCATTAAGAATTGCGACTGCTATGCAACTGACGGAAGTAATAAATGAGCCTGCCAGATCCACCGAAACCGTTTGCAAAAACGTTACGATCAACGTAGCTGAATCTGATGGCAATTCTACGGAAAAAATTAGTCACGAAAATCCTTCTTTTTTAAAAGAGGATTGTACTCCATAAATCTAAGATTTTTTTATTAATTGTATTTGTTTTCCACGATTCTATCACCACCGCAGCTAAATGAAGCTAATTTTCTATTTTTCTCTCGTATTAATGAACATTTACATATGATAATAATTATTATTTGTATATATAATTAATATATAAAGAAACAAAAATCTGATTCGCTAAATTAATCACATAAATACATTTATGTGGTATTTATTTATCCATCTCCTAGGATTCTATGTGAAGATCTAAAAATGTATAAAACAATTATCTTTCTTTATTAAAATTTTTGTTACCGACAGATCATTAAGAAGGTCAAGTTTGTTACCTACTTGATTAATAAGTAATTAGGTCGATAAACTAGATAGTCGATAACTAGTTTGATCGGTAACTAGGTAGGTTGATAACTTGCTAGATCGATAATTTGCTAGATCGATAAATGATCGACTTTATTTTTAATATATTATTTAAACCATAAATTAATCATTATGGAAGTAAGAAAAGAAACAAAAAACTAATTTCCGCCTATTTTACATACTTATGTGTATTATTTTTATAATGAGAAAATGTTCAAAATAGATTTCTAGGTAGCGCTTCAATCAACCCCACAGATTTCGAGATTGTGGTGCTATTTCCCCTTAATATTGTTTTATACTCGAAGAAACGATTTAAAGCAAAATGGCATTTAGTATTTCTCATATAGCCTCAGTCGTTACTCGAGTGTTAAATATATATTTGACAGGTCTTTAGTATTAATGCATATAATAACGGTTTAAATTGACCTAACAGTGTTCAATTAAACAAAGGATACTAAGTCTCGTAACAAATGAAATTTAAGTTATAATGATTCATCCGAATTATTCTTAGCGCGTTTAAAAAACGAGCTAATGCATCGACTATATATAATATTGTTCATTGTTTAATGCAAAAATTGACTACTGTCATTGTGCAACTCTTATGGCAATACAAAAAAATTTAGGTTATACGTTTTCCAGAATAAAATAAATGAGAAGCATTAGAGCTAGAAAAAGAAGACTATTTTCAAGGAATATACAATATTAAAAAATCATATGATACTCAGATGCGTTACTTGATGTCAACAACCTTTCGAAAATTTGTGTAAAATGTTAACCATTCCTACAATAGAACGTGGAATGTGAGAAGGTGTTTTAAATTCCTGCTTTCTCAGGTGAACTGATTTGTTATTTTATTTATAGTTATTTTTAGTCGACAGATACATTGTTACGAGTATATTTAGAATAATGTTTTTTTATTTATTTTTGTTTTGCAATAATGTTTACTTTTAACTAATAGAGTAGTTTAATTGAAACTTTATGTATTGTTGTATATTTACATTAAAAACTATAGATACAAATACATATCTATATATTCTTAGAGTTGTAATATTAGATTTATAAATGCTTACAGAGCTTTTTAAATCATCAATGCATTTATCAAAACATTGTTAGGAAATATTTTAATAGCTTTTCATTTCTAATTTTGTTATTACTTTTATATAGAAAACCTTATTCTTGTACTGCAATATCAATATAGAACAATAAATTAAATAGAAATTGTAAATATAATTCATAATTCTTATAGAAGAGTATTTAAATACTATTGTTTTTTAATTAATGTTCTTTAAAAATACGCATGAAGATATTTAATTGTACCTGCATAAATAGCAAAAGTAATAATCAATAGTATAATAATTTGAAAAATAATGGAAATTAATCTACAGAGGCATTAGAAGGATTTCTGAAGTATTATGGCTATATTTGCTTAGGTTTGGCAATGTAACTAGAGTATATATTTGCTTATTAGGTGTACTGGAACGTAGATAGTCCTGCTGTTCACCGCTTAAAGTACAAGTATCCTACGATGTTTTCATCAGGTCTTGGCTGTAATCTTTCCTTCCCCAGTTGTCTGGGCTATCCACGAGATAGCGAAGAACTGATACCAAAAATGGCGCGTGAACCGATTATTCTCAATGTTTATGATATGGTAATAGAAGTACAAGAAATTTGTGTACATACAATGCTTATTTTTCATTCATATAATACTTTCAGTATTGGATAAACGAATATACAACTCCAATCGGACTTGGAGTTTTTCATTCGGGTGTTGAAATATATGGGACAGGTATATCATTTTCATCAATGATTATTTTTTATATCAATGATTTTTTCAATTTAATTTATTTTGATGATATAATTTTGTATAGAATATGCCTATGGTGGTCATCCAAAACCTAAATCCGGCATTTTTGAAATAACTCCTAGAGTTGCGGAAGAACTTGGTGAACAATTTAGATACAGGCATGTATATTTTTTATTTTATCACAACAATCGTGTGTGTGTTGCCTGTTGAATTACAATGACTCTAAGTATTTTTTTATTTGAATATATCTTATAGACAGTCAGTACACATTGGGTATACAGATTTTACAGAGGAAGATGTTACAAGGATTGTAAATGAATTAGGAAAGGATTTTAGGGGAGATCGTTATCACTTGATGAATAAAAATTGTAATCATTTTAGTAGTCAGCTTACATTGGTATGCCTTATTTAATTATTATAGCAGTACTGCAATGTATAGCAGATAGTTTGTTTATTAAATCACATTTAATTATATTTTAATTGATATTTTATTCTTTAGATTCTATGTGGCCAAGAAATCCCAGGATGGGTTAATCGTTTGGCATACTTCAGTTCGTGCGTACCATTTTTGCAGCGTTGTCTCCCAAAAGAATGGTTAACTCCCGATGCCCTTCAGCATTCTTTAAATCAAGTCAGCCATCATGAAGGTACACCGCCTTCCGATACTTCCTTGTAACATTTGGCTAATACTACAGACGAGAAAAGTTTAGAATATCCTAGGAGGTATACTTTATAGAGACTATTTACGCATCGTGACGAAGACAAATTTTATTACAACAGGCTCGTATATCGCCAGGAAGAAATTGATATCCAGGCAATTCGAATGTCACTCGAGGGTACAAACTTGACATTGTACTTCTCAATGCCGCTGATAAATTTATTAGTACTCAGAGAATTGCCTTCCCTGCAACGTGTCGTCTAACAAATTTTCGACGACAGGATACAGGTCGCGTGTGTTCTTTGGTTAATAGTTATATAATAAATAGATAATTACCTACAAATCAAAGCCATACCTGAGACTGACAAGTTTATTGGTCAGAAGAGTTCAGATTTCATTTATGTTTCATCAGATTTTTGTAGCCATTGAAAAGCATATTCTTTGTTTAAATTCTATTTCAAATTATAAATTTTTTGATGAGCACTTTTCAATTTATCGCAGAAACTTTTATAGGATTATTATGATTAACTTATCTTTTATAATCAAAACTCATATTTCATTTTGTTTACATTTAACGGTTTCATATTTTTCATTATTATTATTATCATAATACTATATGTATGTATTTATTCTTTTTTAATCTTTGTATATTTAATATCTTTTTATATAATTGCAAATAATAGCCATTAAAACATTGAATTATGTCGAATGGATTTACGAAAACGATTAGTGCATTTACTAATGATAATTTTTCAATCATTTTCTTGAAAGGCATTTATCGATTTATTTTTAATATACATGTGATTAGTAATTCGGTATTTCATTATTCCAAATTTTCATCAACAAAAATAACGCTAAATTTTTTTTTGTAAAAAAAGATAACACAGTATTTTGCACGATTCTATGTAAAATTTAAAAATGTAAACACAGAAGAAAAAAAAAGTCAAGGTGTTGTTTCAGAGGCTTTTGCCAGATTTGTAGCTGGATGAATTTAATAAAATACTGTCAAAAGGATTACTAATGTTACTAAAACTGTTGTTGACATCAAATTTATAATGTTACACGTTAAAAAAGAGAAAATTAATTTGTAGTAAAGTAACGAACAAACAAACAAACAAATAAAAAAAAAAGAAGAAAAAAAGATAGAGAAAAAATGCATTTTGTTTCCATTTGGTGCATTTTACAGTAAAAGTTAGGCATGTAAAAATGCGTAATATACTAGCATTATGTTTCTTACTTGTCGCCTAATATTTCTACTAACAATATTAAATGTCCAAGAATATATTGATCATATATATGTTTTGAAATTATGTAATAATTATATTAACTTTCAGAACAAAATTCTGTCTAAAGCGTACGTCGTAGTCGGAGATATAAGAATGAATTGTAAATTAAAAATTTTCTTCTAAAGTATTATATCTCTCAGTAGTTTTAAACGAATCCACGAAAGTTTGATAAATTTACTTTAGTTTCTCAAGAACATATTTATAATAACTGCGTATTTTATAGATAAATTCTCCATTAAAATTATCTCCTTTGAATAGAATAAAAAGATTTATAATTATAGTACATATATAAAATACGTTTATATAATTCATATATGCATACGTAAATGCGTGCGAAAGTGCGTACACGTGACATTTTTATCTTGGGCATACAGTAAATTTAATAAACTATAGTTTACTGAATCATATGAAATATGCCAATATGAAAATTCATTTCGTACGAATATATGTACATGTATTTACAAAAAATGTAAAAAATATTAAAAATGAATTTTGTTAGTTCAAAATGTTTCACACGCTCATATATTTATGGGTATATATATGTGAAAAGTATTTATTATTATTATTATTATTATTATTAATCATCTGTATACTCTAACGAAACTGTAAGAGAGACTTCATAATACAAACATTAACATGGCAAAAAAGAAGTATAAGCAAAATAGTAGACATGCCTAAATCTTTATATAAAATAGTGGAAAGAGTTGTGATTAAATATTTCATTGAAAAGTTTTCATTTTATATTTATTCTGTATTTTGTATATTTGTTATTTATTCTTGTCAGCATTTTCCGCAGTGATAAATAGTACGGTTTTTTGTAACATTACGTTCTGTATACGAAATTGTCTAATAGAAATGTCAATTATATTAAAAGCGTATAACGTCCACTTTGCCTGTAAATGCGAAACATAATGTATATGTCAAATGAACAAAAATTATTCGGTTGTGTTACTTTATTTAATTAATAATAATAATAATAATAATATAAAAAAAAGTAATGTTACAAGAACCCACACAATAAAAAAGACTTGGTTCTATACTTTTACACATTTTTTAAAGCAGTTAAAAAATATACGGTGTAGTCTGTGATAGATATATTAAAAGAATTATAATAATATACATATAAAAAGAACACATAATTTACGTAAGCTTATATACCATGAAAAATTAAAAAAAAAAAAATAAAACGAATGCAATTGATACAAGCTTTAAAATTTATTAATACAGTTGTACACGATAAAATCATATTATTATCTTTTTCAGTTAGACGTAAGGAAAAAACATTAGCAGATTTTTTTCTTCTTAATACAGACACAAATTTACGAATTGAGACAAAAAGGTAAGGTGTGTGTGTGTGTGTGTGTGTAAATAATATAAATACTACAAAAAAATCTACAAACTGACCTTCATTAATTAATGACGAAATCTTAATGTATAAAGTTTGGTCTCTTCTTTTAGCATAATAGCTTATTCCTCATAATTTACAACAAAATACACATTCTCAGTTATTATAAGACGTAAATAATTATTAATTGTAATATTTTTTAATAAATATTTTAAACAATGCACAAGCGTTATATAAATAAGTTTATAATATATATAATATATATTTATATATGTATAATAAAAAGACGCGCTAAACTAGGATGCACAAAAGTGTTGCATAATAAATTCAGGTCATTTGCAGTACACTGGGCAAAATATTAACAGAATAATAATTGTTTGTCTCTAAAATTTCGGATTAATATTTAGGCTTATTTGTTTTACAGAATCGAAGAAAAATCATTGTCTGATTGAATGAACAACTGTATAATTAATTATCTTATTTTTACATGGAAAATAAATTTGCGCCGCAACTTAATTTTTCATTGAAAAATATTAATTTTACCTAAAATTTTAATATATTAAATAATTTCATGGATGAAATAAACTATATCAGCACATCGAATGCTATCTTAGTAATTTTTGTTAGATAAATTTTGATAAATATTAATATGATTTTGAAATTAAATATTGTTCATACATAAATATGCAGTAAGAAGAGACAGAGTTTTCCAATATTTACAAACGTATAAAATTAATGCTATACACAGAATTAATTATCTGATGCACGTGTCTCTATGATATGAAATTAATATAAAAACTTAGGGATAAAAAAGAAATAATGTTTAGCCACCTTATAGGTTTTTATAAAACCTTCTATGCAACGTTGATAATAAAAGATTAAAATAAATCATGAAATTTCACTGGTAAGTACATTAATACACACATGGTTTTTTTCATTTGTTAATAATTATGCTTTGATCATACTTCGGAAATATTTCTAGAATATGTTCTTATTTTCAATTCATGTTATTATGGACAATGTTTGCACTATTATATTTCTCATGACAAAAACCGTATGTCACTATTTCCTACCATTCCTTTCATTTTCCTCTATCTTTTTAATATTATCATGTTTTAATATTATTATAATTGATATATATGTATATATATATATCAATTTATATATTTTTTTGTCGTATATAATATATTTTCTTTTTCTACAATTATAACTTGTTGAGAACGTTTAAATATAATTAAAAAATTATTATTAATAAAATTGTAAATTGGCAAATAATATTTAAGATCAAACGGTGATGTATGATGATTAACATGTTGTTTTATCGATATTTTATGAAATAAAAAGAACAAATGGTCGAACAATAATGATAGCATTTAAAATTAAATTTCAAAGTTATGATTGAACATGAGTGTATGATTATCACTCTAAAAATACAAACATTAAAAACTTGTGAAACTATATGCGATACTACTAAACTGGCACTGTTGGTTCTTGATCTTTGGTCGTGTCACAAGTACCATATTTTTCAACTTCAATATAGCATTCACAAATAAATTTATAGTTTTCTTTTTTTTGTTCTTAATTATCAATTTCAGTCGAATTTCTCAATAACTGGAAGATATTGTTTCATGCTTCTGATCTCGGTTGGCAAAAATTCTAAGACATACATTTTTGTCACTATGCTTTTGCATTTTTAGTAGATTAGAAAGTGTAATGAATGTATATACATCGAAAAATGTATCTTCTGTGCTATGAAACACGTAAAAAGTACATCTGAATCTTCATCTACCTTTCAATTTCATTATGTTTCGTTTGATCTTACAACAGTATAAATTGATATTTATGAAAATGAATGATATTGCAAAATCGCTTATATGTCAAAATTAATATATAAATATATAAGGCATTATAGTTATCGAAGAATACTTTTTCTAATAGGATAATAACAAATTATCTGTTAAATAAACAAACTACAGCGGTATTGCAATCAATTTGTGTTCAGATCTTATAATCACCGATCAAATGATAAACAATATTATGCATTACACAAAAATATGTGTAGTGTTTAATTATGTAACTCGAGTTACAGTTACTCGTTATATATATATATATATATATATATATATATATATATATATA